GCTGGACCGGTTCAGTTCCAATTTTACCGGTTTGGTCCGTATGTTATGGTTTCAGACCCGCTTCACGATTTCAATGACATTTTCAGTTAAAAAATTTCCGGGTTCAGTTCAGTTCAATAAGTTCTTGTCCGATCAGTTCATGTTAGATCAGTTCTGGTTATTCCGGTTAAGTCTAAATATCATGTCAGGTTCAGTAGAGCATCTTAACATAATTAATCAGTTAAGTTAACAGTCTGAGCATAGTCATTAGTAATTGTTTATATTATATTTCAGTTTGATTAGGTCACGAGCATTAGCACTGCCTTTATTTTCAAGGATCAGGTGGGGACTCAGACTAAGTACTACATTGATTATAATTACGGTACCATGTTTGAGGTATGTATTTCATGTCATGTATCCGCTCGGAATGGTCGCCGGTCCATTCTGGGTTCTAGTGGCCCTAGTCTGCCCACTAGAGTGTGCACATGGTGTCCACCATTAGTTTGTGCCGGCAGATGAGGTAACAGTCATGGTTCACGTTCACGTGATGATATCATATTCATGTTCATGTTATTACCGGTTTCATGTTCAGGTTATGTATATGCCAAGATCATGATGTTGTTATTATTTTCAATGTTTACATTAGTATGAGTTTCCACGGAGCACAGTGTCATAGTGCTCACTTCCCACTTTTATCATGTTTTTCAGGTCAGGATGTCGGGCCGGGAGCGTGAGATGACGGGTGCCTTAGGACTTTTATGATATGATTGTGTATATTATGATGATTTTACGTTTTCGCTGACTTTGACGTTAATGAACTTATGTTTTGACCGGGCTTTTGGAAAAATATATGCTTTCATTAAACCGTATGATTTTGTTAAAAATTAAGATAACGGTTTTCCAAAATAAGTCACGTTTTACGGTAGCACCCCGAATCAGTTTTCGCAAAGTAAAAGATTTTAGTTTTAAATAACTTTGCAAAATTTTCGCGCTCTGATTTCACGATAAGCCGGGGTGTTACAATTGGTATCAGAGCACGTTTCTGCGTCTTTGAAAAGTTTTTCAGTTAGTAATTTTCAGAAAAACCTGAACCGTCATGCTCACGCCTCGCCGACTACAGGTAAGTGATGATTTATGTTTTCAGTTATAAACATATTACTTTGTCTATGCTCAGAAATTATGGATCAGAACTTAGTTAAGATGCTCAAATCAGGTTCAGACTTTAGAGTTCAGATATGACTCTAGAATTCAGTACATTCATGACTCTAGAATTTAGTATCTTCCGATATAACTCTAGAGTTCCTCAGGATTCATGTCAGTATTCATCGGCCATTTTTGGCAACTCGTCAAGAGATCTGTGTGCTTTAGTAATCATTCAGAATATTATCACGTGTTCAATAATGTTAAAATTTTCTCAATGTTCAGATGCCGCCCCGTAGGGAACCCGATCATCCGGCTCCTACTCAGGCCACAGTAGTCGCACAGTTCCGCGACTATCACGCTGAAAAATTCTCAAGGCAGGGAGATCCCCGCATCGTAGATGAATGGATTCAGGGCCTGGAGTTTATCTTCGAGGTCATGGACTGTCCTAATAGATATCGCGTAGTCTGCGCTCAGCTTCAGCTCACTGGTGATGCACGGCTCTGGTGGAATGCCTACTGGAGCATGCGTCCCGGTGTGAAAGCGGGATGTACCTGGGATATGCTCAAGGAGCTAGTCCGCGAAAAGTACTACCCCACTTATTATCGGGCAGAGATGGAGCGTCAGTTCTTATCGCTCCAGCAGGGCACTCGTACAGTTGATGAGTACGAGAGAGAGTTTACTAGACTTGCAGCTTTCGTTCCGGACCTGGTTCGCACGGAGGCCCAGAGAGAACAACGGTTTATCGACGGGCTTTACCCAGCAGTCCGTCACAATATTGTAGGCCATGGGACACAGACATATGCTCGTGCAGTTTCTATTGCCCAGGAGGTGGACGCCAGCATTAGGAGGGAGGCCGTCCGTGATCGTGCCCAGCCATCCGCCCAAGTTCAGCCATTCACAGCTCCACCAGCTGCTCAGCCGGCAAAGGAGAAGAAGAGGAAGGGGAAGGGTGCTCAGACTGATAGGAGGACCCGACAGAGACAGCAGCAGGCTCTAGGGCTGGTATTTTTTGACCGAAAACCGAACCGAACTGAACCGAACCGATGTGCTAAAAAACCAAACCGAACCGACTCATTTTTATTGGTAACCGAATGTCGGTAACCGATAAGTTATCGGTTCGGTATCGGTTCCGAACCCAAAAAGGTTCGGTAAATACCGAACCGAACCGATAAGAATATATATATAAAATAAACTTAAAATACATGATAGATTAATTAGGCTCTTGAACACGTATAATAGTTAAATAAATAATAAATTAAGTTAATAGAGCTGAATGTTTTAATTTAATTGGTCTTAAATCTTAATAGTTTAGAAATAAAAAAGTGGCGGGTCATTAGGATTTAGAAGCTTAGGGCTGGGAGAGTTCACTTAAAAAATTTAGAAATTCAAAAAAACAAAAAAAAAAGTAGAATAAAAAATTCTGCTTCTAGGCGTGATGACATTTACCCAACCACTCATTTTGTAATTTGGATGATGAACATATATTCATACGACTGTCTGATCTCTCTTGGAAAAAAAAAAAGTCTGCTGCTTCACTTTCTTAAGTCGTCTGCTGCTGTTGTTCTTTATAATATTTTTTCGGTTTTTATCGGTTTAAACCGAAACCGAACCGTTTTATCGGTAACCGAAAAATCGATTACCAATTCTTATCGGTTCGGTTTCGGTTTAAATATTAGTGAAACCGAACATGTTCGGTTCGGTATCGGTTTTATGTTATCGGTTCGGTTACTGAACCAATACCAGCCCTAGTAGGCTCCACCGTGCCCGACTTGCAGATGACTTCACCGTGGAGAGTGCCATATGGGTCAGGACATTTGCTACTACTGCCACGAGCCTGGACATTTTGTGAGTCGCTGTCCGAAGAGACTTCAGCAGTAGCCCCAGCAGCCTCAGTAGCCGCCACAGCAGCAGCAGCCACGTCAGCAGGCACAGAGGCCGCCTCAGCAGCAGCAGCAGAGGGGCAGACAGCAGGCCCGAGTCTACGCGGTTGATCAGGCCGAGGCAGCACAGCAGCCAGGTACTATGTCAGGGATGGTTGTGCTTAATGATATTCCTGTTTTCGCTTTGTTCGACACTGGAGCAACGCATTCTTTCATTTCACGACGATGTCTTGATGCCATCGGAGTTCATGTCGTTACCGCTGTCGATCCTCTCAAGGTGAGTTTAGCCTCGGGACGAAAGATAGTGACCTCAGCTAAAGCTTCATACCTTAGCCTTTCCATCGGTGGTCGTTCATTGTCTACCGACGCGTTTGTTCTTGAGATGAGGGATTTTGACCTTATTCTCGGAATGGATTGGCTATCCTTTTATCATGCAGATATCAGATGTCATGACCGAGAGATTACTTTCTATCTTCTGGGAGACGAGTCGATCACTTTCTTTGGCTTCAGGAATCGTTCACTGCCTCATGTTGTTTCGGTGGCGAAAGCCACTAAGTTATTGCGACGAGGCAACTGCCAGGGTTATCTGGTGAGCCTTGTCGACGATTCTCAGAAAGCACGCTCACCTCACAATGTTCCAGTTGTTCGTGAGTTTGTAGACGTGTTCCCAGACGAGCTTCCAGGAGGACCGCCTAACCGGTAGGTGGAGTTCTCTATCGATCTCATTCCAGGAGTCGGCCCCGTATCCAAAGCTCCATACCGTATGGCGCCAAAGGAGTTGCAGGAGCTTAAGACTCAGATTCAGGAGCTGTTACGACTCGGTTTCATCCGACCGAGCGTGTCACCTTGGGGAGCACCCGTTCTCTTTGTTAAGAAGAAGGACGGATCCATGCGCATGTGTATCGACTACCGGGATCTTAACCGGTTGACGATCAAGAACAAGTACCCGCTTCCCAGGGTCGACGACTTATTTGATTAACTGAGGGGAGCCTGTGTGTTCTCAAAGATTGATTTACGATCAGGCTACCACCAGCTGAAGATTAAAGAGCCAGATATCGCTAAGACCTCTTTCAGGACTCGTTACGGCCATTACGAGTTCGTCGTCATGCCATTCGGCCTCAACAATGCTCCAACGGTTTTCATGGACCTGATGAACCGTATTTTCCATCCCTACCTCGATCAGTTTGTTATTGTCTTTATTAACGATATTCTTATCTACTCGAAGAGCCAGAAGGAGCACGA